AATTTCTTATCTAAAAGGATGATTAAGTAAATTTGTTAAATATCAAAATATATTAAAAAAATAAAGTTAATAAACAAGTAAGTCTCTATTCAAATTTAAAAGATCTTATTTAATATTTTTGTATTTATTTAATTTAATATAAAAATCATGTGAAAAACTCTCCTAATAATATCCATTATGTGTTCATTACCTTTTTCATGCCTATTTTTATTCTTATTTCGTAGAGCTTATTTTATGTGGTTCTGGAATATATACTTTTTGTACAAAAATAAAAAAAAAATATGACATATGAATCAAAATAAATATAAAGATAATGATAATGTAAAAATATTACTCTTTATTATATTTGACAAAAAGAGTATAAAGTATTCTGTGATACTGGGCTCTCATCTCCTTTTATATCGTCATTCGTGAGATTTTAAAATGAGCATCGGGTTGAGGATAAAAGGATCTGAACCGTGTGTTTACTTACGATGATTTATAGACGTGTACTTTTTTTTTGGGTACATAATAGACGTATACGTTTTTATTGTCAAAGGCTCAAAGCTTGCATTTTATCGTGCAAGAGTTGGAAAAGCGTGCGCTACTGATATTAATGTATCCTAAAGATATATTCTAAAAGATATTTCAATAAATTTTTTTATACAAGTTACTGAATAATATTGACATAGTTGTAAAAATTTAAATGATAAAAATAATTTTAAAAGAGTAAAAATAAAATGCATACAAATAACATTACGCGAAAGATAAAGCTTCATGACACCTTACAAATAACTAAAAAAACCCATTTTTTATGTAGTTGTTCTTAAGGAGCTGTTTGATACGAGTCATTTTTTAGGATTTTCGAGAAACTGAATTTTTCTAAATTTTTAATTTTCAGATATTATGATAAACTGAATGTAAAAATTATATTTTTAAAAATTGAGATTTTCGGATAAATTTTTTTTTTCTTACCAAACGCTCCCTAAAAAAAGAGCATGCATTCAATGTAAGGTATCATGAGTCAGCTCTAACTCATGTGAGCTCTAGCTCGGGTGATTATAAAGCATTCCCAATTGTGGGGACATTGATTTGACCACCAAGTTTTTGCTTTCCTTTTTTGAAATAGTCTTGTTCTCAAATCAGCTTATATTTAAGTAAAATTATGTAGAAAACCAAATAAAATAAAAAATATGTATTAAACAGATTTGAGGAAAAGGGAAATCACAGAAGAAAGAAAGAAAAAAGAATAATCTGAAGCACGAAGTGGCCGCAATCATCGCAATGTCTGCCTAACGGTTTAGAAACAAAAGAGAATAATAATGAGTGTCTAATGTGGTCTTCTTACTTATGTATGCTCTGACCGTCTGACAATGCAATGTACAAGTACAATATGTGCATTAAATGTCTAATATATTTATTCAGTTTATTAAGAAGAAAAAGAGTGAAGCTTACGGGGCATAGACACACTAGCATACAAAATGGAGACGTTTAAGGTATAAACATATATTTTTTTCTATCTTATAAAGTTAATCCGAATGTGGACAAAGATTATCGATATACATCTTGAATTGAATAATTTTCTTTTACTATTTTAGGCTAATTATACTTTTCATTCTTAAACTATGTGTTCAACTGACATTTCGTTTTTTTATTTTTTTATTTTTTTATTTTGGACCTGATTTTGATAAATTTACAAGTGTACCAACCTAATAATGCAGCGTAAAATCTTGTACAAAATGAACCCGTTTTATAAAAACATATATTGTTGAACAGGTATTACAATTCTATTAGATGACAGAAAAATTATGAATTAATGGCTTAGTTAAAAAAATTAGGCTTGCCAATATTTTGGAGTTAGTTGTAATTTTCTAGTTGTTAAATAAATATAATGAGATTGTGCAGATTTTATGAAAAATTAAGTTAATTTCCTTTCAATGTTAAATAAATTTTGAATTTTCATGATTATTTTTAAAACCTGATTGATAACTTTATTGTATTATCTTATGTATACGGACTAAAGGCATATTATTCAATAGAATAAGAGTCTTGATATAAGTTTAAGAAGTTTATGATTATTCAATAAGCTATATTATAACTAGGATATAACTAGGATTTAATATTTTTATAGTGAATGAAAATAAATTATCTATATTCACTTTCAAAACGACGTCGTTTTAAGTTAAAAAATAAAAAATCATAATAATAAAGACTATTATAACCTTATAACAAAATCTTATAAGAGATTATAATTATAAAAATATCTTAATTTTCGCCTCAAAATAACATTCTTTTGAACTAAATGTAAATAATTTATCTGCATTTACTACGAAAAAAATCAACCATTATAACTATACAACTTTCTAAATTCTAAATAAGGTAATGAAATGCAGGGTGTAATTTTATGTTAGAGTAAATAGTTAGAGAGATTCTTCAAAGATATATAAGACATTAAATTAATTCTTATAAGACGTTAGATATTAATTCAATTCATTATAGTTTATAATCTAAAATAAATGTTAATTTACGAACTAAATTAATAATTTAAAATACATCAAAAAATAAATTAATGTTTATTTTAAATATTAAAAAATTGGGTCAGGATCATTTTACATCAGTGTAACTTACCCTCTCAATCTTGTCCACTGATTTCACTTATATCTAAGGGTTCAAATTTTTTAATAATGTGAGCCATTTGATACAAGTGGATCATTGGTCAAGATTGAGTATAAGACTTATAACTCTTACACTGGTGTAAGAATATCCTGCCCCTAAAAAATTAATTAATATATAAAAATTTTAAGGGAACAATTATACTTACCAATATTTTAGATTTACCATTTTATTACTTAATTAGTTATCCTTGGATCAATTTGAAATTAACAATAATTATTTTTCTTCTTCTTTTTAACCGTTAATTTTAAATTGATCCAACAATAATCAAATAAGTAATAAGAGTGATAAGCCTAAAATGTGAATAAGTATAAACTTCCCTAATTTTTAAACAGTTAACTTAATATTTAAATAATTTTTTAAAACTAATTTAAATATTTAATTAGTTCACTTGATTGGTGACCGACCGCAACTACTGCAATGCTAAGAGTTAAATTGACAATTAAGAAGCATAATAACTTGTAAGCAGGGGGAGGGGCTGTTTGGGTGTACTGTGGTAGTTTTGTTAGGGTCCTAGTTATATCGCCTTTTGCGCCGGGTTAATGCTCATTTGATATTTTCTTCTACTTCCTTTATCACTCTTTAGTTTTTTCAATTCTAGTATTTTTAAAAAATTTCCACCATTAATGAATCTGGGTGGAATAGTCATGACAATTTGAGTAAGTTTCGTTAAGATTCTTTTTAACGGTCTATCTAATTAAATAAATTTTATTTAACATCATTTGAAATACTTCTTAAAATTAACGTGATAATTAATTTAAGAAAATATATAATAATTAATTTTTCATTATAATATCTTAATACTATATAGAGTTTTAAAAAAATAAGTCCTCAAATTATTTAAATTTTTGAAAAGGTCAACTTAAAAAAACGCAGTTAGAATAAATAAATTAGATTCTAACGTTATATTTAAAATATAGAATAGAGAAGACCCTTTTAAAAAAAAGATATGACTTATATTCGGAAAAAAAAGATATGACTTTTTTTTTTCTTCCTTATTAAGAAATAGTAAAACAATTAAATAATACTAGCCCCATATAAGGGGGTCATACTACTTTATCTAAAGAGAAAACTAAGTTAAATGTATAAATAAATAAAGCGTCAAGTGGAGAAATATTTGATATGCTCCAGAATCATCCAATGATTTGGTGCTTCCTCTCATAACACTGATTTTTTCTTTCCTTTTTTACCCTTGCTATTTTTCTTCTTTTTCAATTTTGCCCTTTCATTTACACTGAGGGCCACTTAAAAAATGGTGGTTCTGGACCACAATAAATTCTCTCGTCAAGTGGATGTCCTTTAAAAGGATAAGTTATGTCCTTTTAGTAATTTATACAAAGTCCGATCGATAAGATTTTGTATAAATTTGAAAAGTTATTTTTTTTTATTTTACACGTCAATAAAGTGACTGGAAGAAAGAAAAAAAAAATAACTTTTCAGATTTACATGACCAATCAGACTTGGTGTAAATTACATAAAAAAACAAGCTTGTATCCTTTTAAAACATATTTCTTTTTCTCATAAATTAATTATTGATATAAGAAAATAATATATTATTAAAAAATTCTAATCCACTGGCTTAAACTTTTGAATAGGATAAAGTAGTTCTTTTTATCATAGCTTCGTGTTTCTTTTCATACTGTAATAAATTATTGGAAAAAATGTTTATGCAGTTAATGCAGAGAAGTTATCTGCATTTATTCCTAAAACAACGTCGTTTTGGTATTAAAATCTTAAAAAATTATAAATATAAAAACTATTATAACCCTAAAATAAATTAATATTACAAAAACATCATGATTTTCATCTCAAAACGACGTCGTATTGACTTACTGCAGATAACTTATCTACATTAACTGCAGAAAAAACGAACCCTATATTATTATAATTAATTAAGAATCAATTATCGTGATTATTAATATTAATAATTTATTAACTTACCAACTGAATTTGGGTAAGAATTTTTCTAGAGTAGGACGGGAAGAAGCGTCCATCATTTAATCATTGAGTAGACAGTGCGGCCAAAATATCGCGAAAACTTCTGAGACATACTCGTGCGTGGGTTATGCTTAAGACACTCGGTCTCCCCACTGTCACCAACCACATTTTTTTAATCATTTCCCTTTTTTTTTTCCTTTGCATTTCGTCTAATAACTATGTTATGTTCCCAAAGCCTTTGCAAGCTCATCCCTTTTCCCATTCTACAACACTTTCTTTCTTCTCCATTACTCCCTCCCAACACCTTCACTCACTTTCTCTCTTGTTTCTGGCATTCTAAGAAAGAAAGAAACTAAGGTAACTTTAGTGTTCTTCATTTTCCTTTGTCTTTTATTTGGACTTTGCTCCAACGGTCACTAAGTTGGAGATGTTCCAAATGGTTTTGTTGTTGCTTTTTCTTCTGTGCAATTCTCTTGTTGCACCTGTGAGCTCTCTCAACGTTGAAGGCTCTCTGCTTTTGACACTGAAGAGGTCCATCATCGCAGACCCAGAAAGGTCTTTGAGTAACTGGAACTCTTCTGATGAGAATCCATGCTCATGGAATGGGATCGCGTGCAAGGAGCAAAGTGTTGTCTCCATTAGTATCCCAAATAGGAAACTTTCTGGGTTTCTTCCTTCTGCGCTAGGATCTCTTCCCCAGCTCCGCCATGTCAATTTGAGGAACAACAAGCTGTTCGGGAGCTTACCGGCTGAGCTCTTTCAAGCTCAGGGACTGCAAAGTTTGGTGCTTTATGGCAATTCCTTTTCTGGGTCAGTTCCAAATGATATTGGGAAGCTCAGGTACCTTCAAACTCTTGATTTATCACAAAATTTCTTCAATGGGTCTTTACCTGCTGCCATAGTCAAATGCAAGAGGCTCAAAACCGTTGTTCTTAGTCATAACAATTTCACCGGTCCTCTGCCAGATGGATTTGGTGGTGATTTGTCTTCTCTAGAAAAACTAGACCTTTCTTTCAATCAATTCAATGGTTCAATTCCTAGTGATATGGGAAAGCTATCAAGCCTGCAAGGAACTGTTGATTTGTCTCATAATCATTTTAGTGGTTCAATCCCAGGCAGCCTTGGTAATCTACCTGAGAAGGTTTACATTGATCTTACTTACAACAATTTAAGTGGTCCAATACCACAAACTGGTGCTTTAATGAACAGAGGACCAACGGCTTTTATTGGCAATCCTGGCCTATGTGGCCCCCCCTTGAAGAACCTTTGTGCCCCGGATACTCCTGGTCCCAGTTCACCTTCCTCATTTCCATTTTTGCCTGATAATTACCCACCTCCGGATACTGACAATGGTTCTGGGAAAAGTGAGAAAAGCAAAGGGCTAAATAAGGGTGCTGTTATTGGCATTGTTGTGGGAGATATAATTGGAATTTGCCTTTTAGGTTTGCTGTTCTCTTACTGCTACTCAAGGGTTTGTGGTTTTAATCAGGATCAGGATGAAAATGGTTTTGATAAGGGAGGGAGAGTGAGGAAGGAGTGCTTATGCTTCAGAAAAGATGAATCTGAGACCCTATCTGATCATGTTGAGCAACATGATCTTGTTCCATTAGATGCTCAAGTGGCATTTGATTTGGATGAGCTTCTTAAGGCTTCAGCTTTTGTTCTGGGAAAGAGTGGAATAGGGATTGTCTACAAAGTGGTGCTTGAAGACGCGCTTACCTTGGCTGTGAGAAGATTGGGGGAGGGAGGTTCTCAAAGGTTGAAGGAGTTCCAAACAGAAGTTGAAGCAATAGGAAAGTTAAGGCATCCAAATATTGTTACTCTGAGAGCCTATTACTGGTCTGTTGATGAGAAGCTTCTCATCTATGATTATATTCCCAATGGAACCCTTGCCACAGCAATTCATGGTAAGTTTCATTAAGGGCAAGTCTAAATTTGTTCTAATTTCAATTTATGATCTCATCTTTTGGTGGTCTAACACTTCGTTCATTTGATTGTTGGTTCCATTTAATGTCTTCAGGGAAAGCTGGACTTGTCACTTTTACACCACTATCTTGGTCTGATCGAATAAAAATCATGAAGGGAATTGCAAAAGGATTGGTCTACCTGCATGAATTTAGCCCCAAAAAATATGTCCATGGAGACTTGAAGCCAAGTAACATACTGCTAGGGCATAGCATGGAACCCCACATTTCTGATTTTGGTCTTGGCCGCCTTGCAAATATTGCTGGAGGGTCTCCAACCTTGCAATCCAACCGAGTGGCTGCAGAGAAACCCCAAGAAAGACAAAAGAGCTTATCAACAGAAGTTACAACTAATATTTTGGGAAATGTTTATCAGGCTCCAGAAACACTGAAGGTGGTGAAGCCATCACAGAAGTGGGATGTTTATTCATATGGTGTGATTTTGCTTGAAATGATTACAGGCCGATTGCCCATTGTCCAAGTTGGTAATTCAGAAATGGACCTTGTTCAATGGATTCAGTTCTGCATTGATGAGAAGAAGCCACTCTCAGATGTATTAGATCCCTATTTAGCTGAAGATGCAGATAAGGAAGAGGAGATTATTGCAGTTTTGAAGATTGCTATTGCTTGTGTCAATAACAGCCCAGAAAAGAGACCCGTAATGAGGCATGTGCTTGATGCTTTGGATAGATTGTCCATATCCTCTGATTGAGAAGAGCTGTGAATTGTGAATCCATTTCATTTTGTGAGGCTTTTTTACTCTTTTGTTACGGTTTAGAAGGATTTCAAGCTGCTAGGTTTGTCCATAAGAGTTTCACTAATTGTACGAGTCCTCCTTGTATTGAAACACTAGAAGAGAAAAAGAAATATGTTTGAGCCAAAGCAGTCACTTAAGATTTTCCTCATTGTAATTTGCCAGTACATAGGAACTGAATTGTGTTGGTGTTGGTATGCTACATAGCATGCTTGAGAGACTCTTCATTTTTTTCCCTTTTAGTTTGCTGGTATTTTATCTATTAAAATAATATAACAGAGAATGTCTTCATCCTTTTTATTTTTTTTAATCTTATAACCACAATATCTTGGTTTTATTAGGTCACTGGGACTGAGACTAGAGTCTATTGTTTTGTTAAATCTCAACCTCTTCCTGTGTCTTGTTCAATTTATTAAGGTTGGCACCTCTGACATTCATACGAAACCTGTGATCATGTCTCTCCATTCACTTAAAAAAGGAGTTTGTAGTTTTGTACAAAAGAAAAAGGGGGTCCAATAAAATATATTAATTTGGAATAATTGTTTTTACACATTTATATATCAGATTTGACGTTTTATAATTTATTCTTAAGCTCTCTTGATTGTTATTGTAATTGGGTAGATGGGAATGATTCACCAATCCTGTTCTTCCCTGTAGCACTGATTTGAACCGTAAAAGCATGTCTGATCCGACAAAGAATGCCAGGTTGCATACCATGCCTTAAATTTGTGTGCCCTTTTTTTCTCAATATTTATCAGTCATACTAATTTTACTCAGGAATCTTTTAGTGGAAGACATACAACAGATAAGCTAAAGAATTTTAAAGTAACCCTCGCACTTGGTTTCACTGTGTTCTCATTGCCAACTAATTAAGCTTAACATTGGATATCTTTCTACGAAAACCATTGATGAATTGGAAAACAAATCTGTGTTAAGTTGTTGGTTTTTACAAAAAAAATTTACTAAATAATTTTACAATATTCTAAAACCTTTAACTTTTTAATCAACTATCATTCATATTATTTTATTATTGTCACTTTTTTTGCTGACTACCAAAAACACAAGGATGGATGACTAGTTAAATTTACAAACATGATGAGGGACCCATATTTACATAATCTAACAAGAGGTTCAACTTTGGGATGACCAAACCATGTGGCGCTAATTTAGGGGAAATGGACTCCAGCAATTTGTTGGAGAAATCTTTGCTGTCATGTGGTTTTAAGTGGTAATTAATCTCATTATTCTTTTTCTGACTTCGAAACCTGAAAGAGACATAAATTATACCAGTTCGAGTTTTGACCTCTTTCTTGTGAATTTAATGCTAATGTTTCAATATTAAATATAAACTTTTGGGGCACATTTTTTTTCCATTGTGATCCTTCTTTAGCCCATGCTTTGACCAATTAAAAACTATGTATATCTGTTTATAGGATGAAGGAGAAAACCCGAAGGTTGGGAAATAAACAAAAGTTTAGGGACTTTTGCATCTTTTCGATTACAAGCAATAAAAAGTATGGGGATCAGCGGGGATCCCAAGAACGTTTGACTATAATTGATACAGTGAAAAACTTTTTTTTATCTTTAATATTTCAATCGATTCATTGGGATCGCTCTGGTGAAAAACTTAGATCGGAGGGAGACATGTCATTTTCATGACTAACAGTGCAAATATTATTTTGAGGTAGAAATCAAGACAATTTTATAATTATAATTTATTTTATGGTTATAATAATTTGTTTCATTATAATTTTTTAATTTTTTAACACAAAACAACATTATTTTGGATTTTGGAAACAAATATAAATAATTTATCTACGTTCAATATATAAACATTAAAGCCATATTTGTTAGGATTTATCATCTGTCATTTAACATGACCATAAAAAGTTTCCTACACACACAATATTTTGTGGGGCCCGCAGCAAAAAAAAACAAAAAACTTTGGCACGCAAAACGAATCTCTATAACATAACACAATCACTTCTCCTACAACATAATTCTTATATACCAAAAGTCATTGCTAAGCATTAATTTTGTACAAAGCCGTGGCACATAGCTCCTGTCAACAAAGGCATTTAGATGAAGATTTAACCCCTAAATTTATTGAAACTTAGAAAATGAATTCAAAACTAGTACAGCTGAATAATTAACTCTCTTTGTTGTCTAAAAATCAATATGTGCCGTTGATTTTACTGATTCTTCGATGTTCAATCTATGTTAAAATTGTGTGTTCTTCTTACATGTATTGTTATCTGACATTCTCGTGTAGAAGAAAGCTTCAGATATGAAAGTAAAATTTTCAGTTAGTTGCAACTATTTCTTGCGTTTATATATTGTGTATTTTATTCCTCTCGTGATCTCACCTCATTGTTATTTCTCGTACATCTTCTAGATGAAGGTGAAATATTAAAAGAACATTCTTCGTGTAAGGTAAACTGATATGTACAAATTGTCAATGGGCTTTGGGTAGAAGGCAATGTGGCCCAAGCTGTAAGGTTAGCTGATCATATGGAAAACATGGGTTATCAATCTGACCATTACACCTACGGAGCAATAATTAATAGATTGTGTAAGGTTGGTGACACATCTGCTGCTATCAGATATCTCAAGAAGATGGAAGAAACAAGTTGCAAATTGGATGTTGTAGCGTACACCACAATCATAGACAGCCTTTGCAAGGATAAGTTAATATCTGAGGCTTTGGATTTGTGCTAAAAAATGAATGATAAAGGAATTCAACCTACTCTTATCACATACAGTTGCTTAATTCAAGGCCTCTGTAATTTTGGTAGATGGAAAGAGGCCTTGAATTAGTATTCTTGCTTATTTCGACCTCAATACCGAACACAGAGTTTAGAAATTACTAAATATAGGATCATAAGAAGTCATTTTATTTCTAAAAAAAGGATTTAATTGAGTATAAGGAAATCAAAGAATTTAACCTAAAATACCAAATCAAAGTAGATCAATATTTTTTCATTCCTGAAGAAGTACATATTTTACTGAAACCTTCTTGCATAATGGTGCAGAACAATTGTATAGTTGGAGTAGATACACCAATCACTTTAAATAATCTAAGAAGTCGTGTAGACGGATTAGTCTGAGTGGAGAAAAAAAGGGGGGTTGAATTATTTTTTTTTTTTTTTGGAGATGTTTATTTTTCTGGGGAGATGGATAAGATATACCGGCACATTACCGTCTTGATACCACCTGGAATGGTAAAAAAAATAAAAATCTAAAGAAGCAACAAAAATGAGAAATTCGATCTATGTCTAGTGGATCAAAACGACCAAGAAAAAATCTTTTGTTTTGGTTTGACCCGTAATTTTATATAAAATAACGCATGGTATCAATTTAGTAAAACTTTTCCCCAAAGATCTGTTCCAAGAAAGAGATAATCTCGAACTTAAAGTTATCAATTATATTCTTTATGAAAATGGAAAATCAATTCGGAGAATTTCTGACATAAGGATTCAATTAGTTCGAACTTGTTTAGTCGTAAATTGAGATCTAAAAAAGATTTCTTCTATTGACGAGACTCGCACTTCTTTTGTTACGATAAATACTAATGGTTTGATTGGAGATTTATTAAAAATTAACTTAGTGAAATCTCATATTTCATATTTTAAAAAAAGAAATGATCCATTTAGTGCAGGATTGATCTCGGATACTGAGTCAGAACGGATTAATATCAATCCATTTTTTTGGTGTGCAACCTTATCTTTAAGGGTGAGATTTTTGCTAGAAAGTTGAATAACCATGATGCGCATCAAATCCACCTTCTAGTGTAAGACTCTAAATGGTGTTGTGATGGATAACCATAATTTCTTATAAGTACTTGCTTCTGTACCTAAATTGTATATGTGATCTTTGTGGTTAACTCCACCAACAATATGTACAAATAAATAATAGCTTCAAATTTGTAATGTTAGGAAGAACAACTTGGCAGGGGTAAAAAGATTTGAATTTTCAAAAGACTTTTTTTTGTTCAAAAACACAAGCTTGAATATGTCATTTAAGTATGTTAGAACTTAGAAGTAAAAAAAAGTTGAAATCGATACATTGATAGCGGCTAGCTAATCATCTTGCATTCTTGCTCGTAGACTTATAATTATATTAGTATGCGTTTTCATAATTTTTTTTCCAAATTACAAATATTTTAAATTTAAAATACTTAGTGCACTAAAATGTTATCTAATTTTGTTTTTCCTTTTCTGCATTCTTCACTAAATAATAAAGTTAAATCGAAAAGCGTTTACAAAAAATAAAATAAAATAAAATAAAATAAAATAAATCGAAAAGCAATGAGTTAAAATAAATAAGAGTAAAGTCTTTTGGGTCCCTGATTAAAAAAATATGATCCTCACTTTCTTCTTTTATAAAAAAAATCAACTTTTATTTCCTATATAATTTTAATTTTTTGCAAATATGATCTCCAAAAATTCAATGAAAACACAATTAATTCTTAAAAAAGAACTAATATGAATATTTTGTTTATAAGAGACAAAAATAGGAATTATGTTTTTTTGTTAAAAAAAATTTTAGTCAATAAATAAATAAAGGGAAAAGTGTTTGTCATTTCGAAGATGTAAAGTTGTGTGATTTTAAGAGAGAGAAAGTCGAAGGATGTAAAGTTGTGTCATTTTAAGAGAGAGAAAAAGATAGATAAAAGAAGAGAGAGTTGACAAAAAAATAAAGATATGAGTCCCACTCTTTATGTGGAAGTGAAATGATATAATATTTAAAGGGATAGGATATTGTGACACTCAAGTTATGTTACACACATGTGACACCCAGTCAATCTCACCGTTAGATCGCTTATGTTGATCCAACGGTTATATTTATTTCCATCTTTGTATGGTCATGATTTCCCAAATTTAAAGTGAAAGCATTAAATATAGGAAATCATAACCATACAAAGGTAAAAATAAATATAAAATATTAAATTTGAGAAATCATGACCATACAAAGATGGAAATAAATATAACCGTTGGATCAACATAAGCGATCTAACGGTGAGATTGACTGGGTGTCACATGAGTGTAACATAACTTGAGTGTCACAATATCCTATCCCATATTTAAATTTAAAAGCATAAACACTTTTTTATAAATAAATGCATTGGAGGGTTTTTGGCACATTTTGCCGGCAAACCTGAGTGCATCCCCCGTTATTGGTTGCTAAGCACTTTTATAGCCTAGGGCTACTTCCGCCACCGCAGCATAGCCGCTACCGCGACCGATTGAACATTCTCCGGCTAAGTTCAGGTAACTTGCATTTTTCTTTCTGATCCGGTGATGCTCGAGCCTTCATTGACTGCGTCGCCACCGTCGCAGTATTCTTGAATCTGCATCATCTAATTTGTTTGATAACCACACTCTGAAGTTGGTGTTTTACTTTTAGGTTTAGTTTCCTTCAATGTTTTGAATCTGTTGGGGATGTTGCGAAGATGTGCTTGGGATGATTGGTTTCGTCTCCTTCAACACTTTGGTGCTTTTTCTAATCCCAGAAGCTTTCTTCTTTACCCATCGCATTCCCGTCATTCTTTTTCAACTTTTTCCACCTTTGTTAGTGGTACTGGCAGCGATATTCAAGCAACAACAAGCAGAGCCCAGCTCTTGAATTCTATAAGAAATCTCAGAACTGTAGACGCTGCTTTGGATTTCTTCTTCCACAAAATGGTTGGCATGAACCCTTTACCTTGTGTCGAGGACTTTAACTTATTGTTGGGCATCATTGTGAAGATGAAACATCATACAACGGCCATTTCCTTAATCAAACACATGTATTCCTTAGGTGTTAGAGCCGATGTCTTCACTCTCAATATTGTCATCAATTGTCTCTGCCATTTGAACCACACAGCTTTTGGGTTTTCTGTTTTGGGGCTTATGTTCAAAATTGGTTTGGAGCCCACGCTGGTGACTCTTAACACCATTGTTAATGGGCTTTGTGTAGAAGGCAATGTGACTCAAGCACTAAGGTTAGCTGAACATATGGAAAACATGGGTTATCAATCTAGCAGTTACACCTTTGGAGCAATAATTAATGGATTGTGTAAGGTTGGTGACACATCTCTTGCTATCAGATATCTCAAGAAGATGGAAGAAACAAGTTGCAAATCAAATGTTATAGTATACACCACAATCATAGACAGTCTTTGCAAGGATAGTTTGGTATCTGAGGCTTTGGATTTGTACTCAGAGATGTCTGGTAAAGGTATTCAACCTACTCTTATCACATACAATTGCTTAATTCAAGGCCTCTGTAACTTTGGTAGATGGAAAGAGGCTGCAACTCTACTAGGTGAGATGATGAAAAAGGGAATCATGCCAAATGTGCGAACTTTTAGTGCTATAGTTGACAATTTTTGCAAAGAAGGGCTGATTTCAAGGGCTAAATGTATAATAGGTTTAATGGTTCATATGGGGGTGGAGCCTAATGTATTTATCTATACTTCAATGATTAATGCTCATTGTTTGGAAAATCAAATGAAGGAGGCCATGAAAGTATTTGATTTGATGATTCATAAGGGCTGCTTACCAGACATTGTAACTTATAGTTCATTAATCCATGGATGGTGTAAAATTAAAAACTTAAATAAGGCTATCTGTCTCTTGGGTGAAATGGTTAATAATGGATTAAATCCAAATGTTGTCACTTGGAACATTCTTATTGATGGGTTTTGCAAAGCAGGAAAACCACTAGCTGCAAAAGAATTGTTTTTCACAATGCACAAGTATGGCCAACTTCCCGATCTCCAGACTTGTGCCATTATTTTGAATGGCCTATTCAAATGCCATTTTCATTTAGAGGCAATATCATTGTTTAGGGGATTTGAGAAGATGAATTTGGATCTTGGTATTGTAATTTACAATATTATGCTTGATGGAATGTGCAGTTCTGGAAAACTGAATGATGCACGGGAACTCTTTTCTTGTCTGCCAGCTAAAGGCTTGAAAATCAATGTTCGTACTTATAGCATAATGATTAAAGGTCTATGTAATGAAGGATTATTGGATGATGCTGAAGACTTACTGATTAATATGGAAGAGAATGGCTGCCCCCTTAATGATTGCACCTATAATGTCTTTGTCCAAGGATTGCTGCGAAGATATGATATTTCAAGGTCAACAAAATACCTTCAACTAATGAGAGACAACGGTTTTTCTGCAGATGCTACCACCACTGAATTGCTTATCAGCTACTTCTCTGCTAATAAAGGAGATAATGTTTTTCAAGAGTTTTTGCAGAAAATTGTTTGAGTATAGCAGTATGTTTGAAATCCCAATATGTTCTCGAGGACCAACCTGTTAGCAGAGTCAGGCTCTAAATATAGCTTTTGATACAAGTTTTTCTGCCATTCCTCAGCTTGATTTTATCATTTTAATATTCTCGTTAACAATGTTTGCATGTTAGGATTAGTATTTTTAGTAAAATATATATTTGAGCATAAAATTATCTCTTGAGCATTTAAAATAATTGTTTCTTAAGACAGAGTAAGTTTACTAAATCACTTAATAGTAATTTTTTTTTCCTGTGCATCAGTATTTCACGAATGAATAGATGATATCATAGCACTTTCAAATATGGTAGTTAAAATCTCGACTTATTATTATGTTTATACAATTTTTTTCAACAAAACATTTTTACCAATATTTCAAACGTTTTACATTTTTATAAATTTTTTTACATTACGCTTTTTTATTGTCCTTTCGTTTTTACGTAAAATTTCGTTTGTAACTACCTTGCTTTCAAGAAACAATCGTTGATTTTCAAAATAGCATGATGTTGCCCGTGGATTTGTTAAGATGGAAATGACTTCAAATTCAAGAAAAATATAAATATTTCAACCATTTGAACAAAGCATCAATAGTTTAATTTTCTCTCTTTTTGTTTAATTAATTATTTATATAATTTCCTTACATATTTATTTCTTCTCCATTTCTCATACTGTTCCATTGATAAGTTCTAATAAGCTCATCTGGTCAGTGTCCAATAAACAAATATTTAATAGTTAAATAATGAATTATGGACACAATATGGATTCCTATGTAGCTTTGATTGTATTATATTTGTAATTTTGGATTCATTTCTTACGAAAGTGTGACCATGGGATACTTAAATACAGGTGACTGAGATTCAGAGGATTGATTTTGATTATGTGGTGGAGCCATCGAATCTGGATCAGGCCCTAGATAGGGAGGGCTCTCATAAAAGAGAGAAAAGGAAACTCAGAGAGAAACTTGTCTCTGAAGATTCTAGTTGTTATTTTATTACCAAAGCTACACTGATCTATTACTTACAGTCATTGGTATTTATAGAGATAAGGGTAGAGTATAATGGTGTAACTGATATAACTAACATGTAACTAACTCTGCAACTGTGTGACTGTAACATAACTAACTCCGAATTAAAGCACCAACAAAATACGTACAGAATCACTAACTGAACATAACACAAACTGTATTCAGATAGCAGTATATTATTCAATATTCATAATACTCTAATACGTAATACCTAGGGTACTTACTCCAATACTGAATTGATAGTGCTAAAGCCTAAAGCCATAATTTCCTTCTCATAAACCAACTTGGATAGATTGGTTTTGGAGAAGACCTTATTGTTCAATAACAATTTCTTTAGTAAAATCAGAACTGCGGAGGAAATGAGACATTGTGTTAAAATGCTGTTTCAGCTTCTCCGTTCCATTTTAAATATATGAAATTTAAAACACTCAATACTCAGCCAATTTTTTTTTTTTTAATATTCATAACTAAATAATTTAAAAATTGAAAATCAAGAAGGGAAATTAAAAAATTATGGCAGGGAGATTATTTCGATACCTTTGTTTGTACAAGGGTCAGATACAATAGTCATTAATCAGTCACGTATCCTATTTAATAGAAGTTAATACAAAAAATAAAATTATTATATTTAATATTTCAAGTAAATATGACTGATTATTATGTTAGTTAATAGTTATTAATAATTCGAATTATATTATTTGGAAAATAATTTTTTTTTATAAAATAATGAAGTATTTACCTCTTATTTAATTTAAAATATATCATGATTTTAAGTCATTAAATAATGCAGCAGAGGGATTTTTCACAAGCATCTTCAAGAACACATCCTCTGCTATCGGATTCGGCTTTTTTTTTTAATAGAAAGCGCTTTTTTTTTTTTTGTAAATTTTAGCTTGTGTATTTGTCTATTCGTGTATGTTCTGTTGTATATTTTTTAATGAATTGTCATGCTATACTTAGTGCGGACCTATTCTGGAAGTCTTCCTTTTTATGGAATGAAACTGAAAAGGTTATTCTTCCACATTGTATCTCTGCTTGGTTTGATAACAAATTCTGGATTTTTTTGTATTGCATATTTTGTGGAGGATCAGATCTTTACTTGATTTATTGGGCAGCATATTACCTTTTCCCATTTTCAATATCTTCTATTTATTTGTGCAGCTGGTGAGATGCTCCATGTTGCCGAAGCATTCATTGACAAAAACTATCATCCTACAGTTATTTGCCGAGGTGATTTAATAGTATTAATCAGTGGTTCTCTCCTAGAAGGGGATGAAATTGTATATAATGACTGCTACAATTATGTTATCTGCAGCTTATTACAAAGCTTTGGAGGATGCTATTGCTGTTCTTGACAAAATTGCAATGCCTATTGATGCTCAGGATCGTAAGTTCTATTACTAGTTTGGTTCCTTTTTTATTAAGAATTTCTTCATCCCAAGAATATCACAAAAGTTTACAGTGAGCTGAACTGTTTTGAATTCTATACTCCAGTAGCTTATGGTAGAAGAGCCTGGGTAGGTTTTCTAAATAGTTTGGGAGTTGGATGTGATTTTTCAAATGAACTTGTCAGTGTCATTTTGGAATTGAGTTTCCTGCAAAATTCCATATTAATTTACAGTAGCGGAGTAATATGTAGAAACACTACATGACTGCTCCATTAAATTTCTTCTTGACATATGATCTGAATGCTATTGATGAATTAAACTGCAGGAGGTACTGTGCTGGGGCTAGTAAAAAGCTGCATAGTTACCAAATTCACAGGCCAATTTGGGGATTTAATTGCTGTGAGTATGTTCTTTCTCCTGGGCTAGATTTCCAAATTGATATTCTTCTTTGTTCTTTTATATTTTTTTTAATTGTTGAGCTGGATATTTATTCTGGCATATGGTTATTCGTAAATCCTCAGTAAGGAAGCCTAATCCTTGCCGCGCTGCTGACAGGCAGGGTGGCTCACAGCAAAGTATAGTAATGTTAAAAGTTGTTATCTGTACAGTGTTCTTCAACCAGAAACAGTGTTTTTCTACGAAAGCATGAGTTCATGTCATTTTTTTAAATACAACTTGCTTGTTGTTCATGTTATGGTTTTGGCATCTATACAAATGTGTTTAAATTATCTTCATTTGATTAGATGGGCCTCTGGAATCAGGGAGGCGACTCACATAAATTTCATGCTCCGATATATTTTTTTTCCTCTGTCAAACTGCTTAGATACATGCAAATCTAGCAAATAGTGTCATAATAGTCTCATCTCAAGTTGCTTCAGCTCTTGTTCGTCATCAGTTTTGTTGTTAGGATTACAGACGAGTATGAGTGCAGATAATTCTTGTAGCCCTCCTGCAATTGCATAGCATTTCTAGATCTGTTGAATTTGGTATCATATATTCTACCTTGATTAACTTCCAGGATTTAGCTATTGATGCTACTACCTCAGTAGGTGTTGATATTGGCCAAGGTTTGAGAGATGTAGATATTAAAAACTATATTAAGGTTGAGAAGGTCCCTGGTGGGCAGCTGGAGGATTCGAGAGTTCTTAAGGGAGTTATGATAAACAAAGATGTGGTTGCCCCTGGCAAAATGAGGAGAAAGATTGTTAACCCACGAATCATTCTTCTTGATTGCCCCCTTGAGTATAAAAAGGGTGAAAATCAAACAAACACTGAACTGCTTAAAGAAGAAGACTGGAGTTTACTATTGAAGATGGAGGAAGAATACATCGAGGAGCTCTGCATGCAGATGTTGAAGTTTAAGCCGGACTTGGTTATTACAGAGAAGGGTCTTAGTGATTTGGCATGCCATTATCTGAGCAAGCATGGAGTTAGTGCAATCAGGAGGCTGAGGAAAACTGATAATAATAGAATTGCAAAAGCATGTGGTGCTGTTATTGTGAACAGACCAGATGAATTGCAGGAGTCTGATATTGGTACTGGTGCAGGGTTATTTGAAGTTAAGAAAATTGGAGATGAGTTCTTCGCATTTATTGTTGATTGCAAAGACCCCAAGGCTTGTACTGTACAATTAAGAGGTGCTAGTAAGGATCTCTTAAATGAAGTTGAAAGAAACCTACAGGTAAGCTGTTGATATGTACTAAAGATCAATCGGATTTGATCATACTGCTGTCTGAAACTTGTTTCCATGGCAGGATGCCATGTCTGTTGCAAGAAACATAATAAAAAATCCAAAACTTGTTCCTGGAGGTGGTGCTACAGAATTGACTGTGTCAGCTGCTTTGAAACAGGAGAGTTCATCTATTGAAGGCATGGAGAAGGTGAGTGTAACACTAATATCACTGTTGTTTCCACCAGTGGGTACTACTTTATATTAGGTGGACTTTAGTTCTATCTCTTGTATGGAATAGAAGTTTACACTGTTTCTCACTTAAGATTAATGTTGACTAACAGTGGCCTTATGAAGCTGCTGCAATCGCTTTTGAAGCTATACCACGTACTTTGGCACAAAATTGTGGAGTAAATGTCATCCGGACTATGACTTCCCTACAAGGGTTACATTGGCCAGTTTTTCACCACTTAGGTTGCCTGTTGAGCTGTTACTGGCTGACTTTTCATGTTATGCATGTATGAAATCTTTTTCGAAATATCTAAGCACACACTTGGAACTTGATCCAGTAAGTTATTGTTTACTTCAGAATTTTTGGGGGGATTGGTAAAAATGGTAATATAATTTTGTGCTAGTCCGGAACAATCAATGCAATTATATAAAGGGTGTCCTGTGCCAGTGTCATTGGAAGGTGGTGGTTGACTTAGCTTGTAATTGGTTTCCATGTCATCAGAAAAGTACTAACACATGCTTAAGAGGGTTGGTATCTTATGTGCAATGTTAAGAGGTTTCTCAAAATACAGAGGGAACAACTACTGACACATGGAAAGAAAGTTCAAATTTGTTCAGCTTCATGTAATGAACTAACGAATGTGTTTAGTCTTTCGAAAATAATGTGCACAACAAAAAGGTGCACAAATTCACATCTAAGTTGTTGATGTGAAACAAAATTGAGATATCTGACAAGGATTTTAATTGTTATATTTTTCTGTATAATTATTACTCCTGTTTGTCTTTTTTTAACCTCCATAAATTTTGTCGTGTGCTTGTTCTTAAATGAGTGTCCAACATATAATCTTAGGCGGTACAATAATTATCATTAAATAATCAATAGACAAAAAGTATATAAGATATAATTGATATAATAAATATATCAAGTATAAGAACCTTAACAAAGGTAATACTCAACTAATTGCCTCGTTTGTTTATTTTGAAAAGTTTTACATTACTAATATATTTTTATAAATTGAAAAAATATTTGTCCTTAATTTGTGTCATTTACAAAGAAGTGGGATTCACTTCTTTATTTATTTTTTTATCCACTCTCTCTTCTATAATTTATCTTTTTCTCTCACTAAAAATGATATAACTTTACATATTTTAGAATGAGAGATACTTTTGAGTGGTCGAAGCCTCGCTTGCTAAGACTGCATTGAAATCTACATGGATGTGGTAGTGATTGGAAGCGTACACCGGATGAGGTTGGGAGTTGTTTCGCGCAATGCTGTCAGGAATTGTTATTCAAATTATGTTAAAATTATTGAGAGGACATAATCTGGGTGTTAGATAAATCATTTTAACAATACACATAATTTCATAAAATATACACAAGAAATTGAAACATGAAATAACACATATTTAAAGTGTACTGTAGGAAAATATATGAATGTTACAAGAAAAAATTTGAGTCTAGTGTTAGACACTTTGTCCTTAAGACAATTTTGTCCTCTCTATGGTGCCCAAGATTTGTGGACAATTGTTTCTCAGGATAGAACTAATTATTTTTATTTTTGTGGCGGCACTTTGTGAAAAGTCTCATTGAACTCAACCTATGTCTGACTGATCGCACTAGAGTAGAAGAATGCAAATGCAATTGGAAAAAACTATTAAAGTTATGATTCTCTAATTATTTATAGAAAATGTAAGGCAACGATTCAAAAGACACCTATTCGACGATGAAAAGACACACATTTTCCATATCAAACTTCTTATTCATAAAAATAATTAATTCAAAATTAATTCCAACAATCCCCCACATGAATAAGAAGTTCAACAATCGAAACCATATGCATATAAGACTCAAATGCAATGTGCGACTGATCAATGAGGAACAAATGCATCAAGTTCGGTTGATGCAATGCCTTGTAACCGGCCCTAGTGAGACTTATCGAATTTACTCGATCAATCAGTGGACGCAATGCGTTGTAACCATCGACCATGTGTGTAAACCAAGATAATAAGAAACACACATTGTTCCTCGGACATGATTGATCCTCTATTTGTGTCCATTTTGACCTTTGATACCTCCTGGTTCTGCATGTGCGTTAAAGAATATGACCTTGCAATATTCTTATAGAAGCGACCCCCACTTGACACCCATATAGGTGATTTCTGGCGGTGTATCCCAACATACAGCGTCTAAACACATCAAAATCAGAAATCATAAAAAGTCTGCTTGCTTACTCTTTACTTATGCATTGTCTTTTCTAGGAATAGGTATGAGTTTGAAAAACTCCACAGTGCTTATACGTCAATCATAACTTGGTTTTCTCTTTGAACCTAGTTCGTGGGATCTCTACTCTTCTAGATAGAGTGTCTACAAATGATCAACATTTTAATGGCCTTCAACTCATTCATTTCGACAAACTATGCATCAACTCTTTAGTTACACATTTAGTTAACGAATCCGTAAATAATACCACTAGAGAGTAATTGCCTCACGTTATCATGTCTCTAATATATATATATATCAAGACTTACCATTATATATAATACTCCTTGCAATTTCGACTGCTACCTTACTATCATAGTGGATGCACATAGCAAACACTAATTTCAGCCAATTCAGAATACCCCTAAGGAAGTTACAAAGCCACTCGGCTACCCCACCAACTCTATGTGAGGCAATAAGTTTTTGCTTCCATGGTCGACCTTGTAGTATATGCTTGCTTGGATGATTTCCAAACACAACACCCCCACCAAGTATGTACACATACCCACTTGTGGATTTGGTGGTGTCACTAGAGTTGGTGATTCAATTTGCATCACAATCGATATGCTCCATTATTATGTACATATTTAATGAACACAAAGTCCACTGTCTTTGGTCCAATCTTAACTCTTTTTGGTTTTAGAATCGCGACCTTTGCCTAACACCCCCACACTTTAACATAATTCAAGGGAGGCTTCCTACCTTTCCACATTTCAAGGGGATGTTCTTTATTTTTTTATGAGATACTCTATTGATTATATAATTTTTCATTAAAATGACTTTCCCCCACAAATTTTATGGTAAACTAGACGTCAACAACATCATTTCATTTAATATTCGATTCTTTCTCTCAGCAATCTCATTGGATTTTGAACATAAGAAGCAATCGTTTGGTGTATAATATAATACTCCAAACGAAATCCCTCGAAGGGATCATCATACTCTTTCCCTCGATCGCTCCTTACAGCTTTAATTTTCTTAACATTATTTGACTATAACACATTTACCAAATAATAAATTCCAACTTAACCATAAGATAATACACAATTGTCATATCATCTACAACATTCAAGGTAATAACATTGACTTCGATCATGCCATTACTAAGATAGCCTTTTCGAGTTCATATAAAATTAAATATTTCGCTGGATATAAAACTTTTAAGACAATATTGTGTGAATTTTAATCTGTGTTTAAGAAATTCATTGCTTCTGTACATTATTGTTTCTGTTTGGTTCTATTGAACCGTATAAGGATACCTTAAGGGTATGCGCTCAGAGATATCTAAGAGATAGATATCCGATTGGCTTATAACTAATACTCCAATCATTGCGCACTATCAATGGGCGTGTAGCCAAGACGTGAGTGTGTGCATAGTGTTGGCAATAATAGTAAATAGGTCAAAAGTGTATACCTAGAGTCTTTAGCCCTTTATTTATAGGGGTTACCTCTTGGTCTTGGGCCCTGTAGATTGGCCAGTTTATGTAGGATTTAACCTCTTATTTGAAGGAATATGGGTTTTATCTCCTTACCTTTATCATCTCATGCTGTTGAGACAAATATATTCCATAAGGGGGCATTTGGTAGAGGAGAAAATTCTTTTTACCAGGAAAATACAATTACTAGGGAAATAGTGAAAAATTGAATTTGGTAGAAAAGTTTAAAAAAAAAAATTTGGTATGCCAAAATATTACCGAAAAAATTAAGTTAAATTTTCTGAGTCTATGTTTCATTGAAGGTAAAAAAATTGATGGGATAATGGCTGTAAATTATGAGAGTAACCTTTTTAACTTTTGAATATAAAATAAAAAATTAACCCTAAGCTAAAATAGTCTGTAAATTTGCTACCAACTTCAAATTCAACACAATAACTCTTTCTCTCAATCTCTCATTTCAAAGTTGCCACTATAACTTCGGCACGGTAGCTGTGTCACAAGCTTGGACATTACGACGTTGTTCTGGATAGGAACGACAATTGTTGATATCACTTTAACATATGAAGCATAATGGGCTAATCATATCAGTGGCAATTATCACGGCAGATGATCAGCTTCATCCTCTCAGAGTAGCCTTGACACTAACGCACGATGGATTTATGCAACAAGACTTCGCCAAATGCAACAAAAGTTTAGTCAGACAGTGATACCCAAAATGCAACAAGACGAGGGTCATTTTCGTCTACAAATGCATGCTCACTTATTCATTTCTTCCGTAAACTCAAAATACCACTATGCAATTGGTTTTCTAAAACAATGATAAACATGAAATTTTACAAACAAAACACAATGGCTGAGGAAACAATTTGGCTGGTTAAATTTTTTGTAGTCTTATACCAAACGTGGTCAAGTTAAAAATCCAATGGAAGTTGCTTAGGTATCTATACCAAAAATCTCTACCAAACACTCCCTAACATTTTTCATACGGTTAATCGCAAAAATATATGGGAAAGGTTATACTTACTACCTATTTTTTTTACTACTTGTTACTACTAAATCTTAACCGTTGATTTCCGTCAATCTAACGGTTATAATTTATGAGATCATACTTATTAATTAATTATTAATTTGTAATAAATTATAACCGTTAGATTCACGGAAATCAATGGTTAAGATTTAATAGTAACAAGTAGTAAGAAAAATAGGTAGTAAATATAACCTCTCCCAAAATATATATAACTTATAATGTTCGTGAAACGGTTTTGTGCTTCGTGATGAACTATTTCTGCAGTGCAAAGTATTAGAATTGTTACCACTAGGTGGTTTATATCTTTATATATATTGGGAAAACATTTTCTCATGATGCATGAGAATTCAATTCTCATGTTGTGACTATTCGATTTGCGTGCAAAATTTTTCTTTTCTTTTTCTCTTTTTAATATATGTGGGGCCCACCATTAGTTGTGTCACAATATGAGAATTGAATCCTCATGCAACATGAGAAAATCAAATCCCTTATATATTGATGCACTCATTTGATTTGACGTTCTTGAATGGAAGCATCAAGTGCATCAAAGACCATACTTCATGATTTCATACGGTGGCTTCATTGTTTGATGATTGATTCACGTTTTTCTTTTTCTTTTTTTCTTTTTTAAAAAGGGGAAAAATTAACCGTTTGTGTATTTCAGTTGAATTGGTTGTTTTGTTTTTTCCTTTTGAAAAAAAAAAAAAAAACTTTGAACTGAATTCTTCATGGACAAATCAAT